CTGTGTGTTTGGGATGAGTAGGTTGGTGGGGGGGGGGGGGGGGGGGGGGACGGACTAGACCAGATTCCCAAGCCAGACTGTGGAATTCTCCTGTCAGGCTCTTCACACTCTGGCACTCTGAGTGCAGAAGGTGGGGGCCTACAAAGACTTTAAACATACCTTGCCACTACAGACACTGGTTACAAAAACTTTCCCCAGAATCACAAATGCACAGATTTGGAGGGGTGGTAGGTGCCACCATCAAGTGATTTTTCCCTAGAAATAGGGGCAAACATTTCAATTCACCCCCAGGGGTGCCCCCAAAAGAGCTTGAAAAAGAAGAGAAAAAAAACAAACAAGCTGCAGCCTCTGGCAGCTGACCTCTCAGTCTGAGGCATGCAGACACACAAAGACAGACAGACCTCCTGTACCTTCCAGGACACCAGAATCAAAACATCACCTTAAAAACATTATTTTTATTACAAAACAAAGGATATACTTGATAAAGCATATTTGGCTGCTAGATGTTACAGAGAAAGTAAGAAAACAAATTAAAATACTAAGGAAAATCTCTGAGAACAATGCTTATATGGTAAATGGGGAGGCATAGATTCGCACAGAGCAGTTCAAACCAAACCACACACAAAATACACTGATTGTGACTAGATTCACTTTCCTTCTTACTTAGTCCCAATCTTTTCTTGGATCAGTCCACTTCTATGCTCCAAATTCCTCGGAGGCATGGTAGTCGTGCTTGGGTTTAAATCATTCTGTGTATCTCAACTCCTGGTTTAACTCTCCCACACAAACAAAGCAGGCAAAGTATCTATATCCAATTCAAATTTCAGCACTCTATTTCAACTGGTTCTCCCGGCCCTATGGCCAACACCCTTGCTAGCTACCTGAGTTTAACCCCCTAATCACTGGGTGCTAGTCAGCACTCCTATCCATTATACCTCCCAAAACACTCATCAGGACAGCAGTGTGGAGGACAGCAGGGTGGCGGATCAGCTGTGCAGCGGCCGCCTTGGGGTTTCAAAGTGGCAGTGCCGCTGTGCAGCGCTGCCACTTCCAAGAACCTCTTCCACTCCCCTTTACTTCCTCTCTCACATAGAGGCAGCAAGGGGGGGAGGGAGGGCAGAGACACAGGCGCGATATCTACTAATCAACTAGTCAAAAGCTACCAATAAGCATTTGGCTTATCGGATAGTCAACTAGTCTTCAACATCCCTAATCACACCAGCAGGCTGGGGGAGTGAATCTAGGACAGTGGTGCGCAACCTACGAGGGTCACGGCTGCCTTCCTGGGGGGGAGGGGAGAGAGGGCATCACAGCCCTTGGATTCGGCTGGCCACTTCTCCGGACTTCCCGGCTCGGCGGGTGCCGGGGGAGTAGCAGGAGAGCGGCCCGACAATTAAAAGAGCCCCTTCCTTTTTTTTGTGCTCAATCAAATTCAGCGGTCACAAATGAAAAAAGGTTGCGCACCACTGATCTAGGCGACTCCAGTGGTGCACAGGGGAGGCATTTTGGGAAAGCAGTGCCTTCCCCTGCCTAGGATATTCACTGCCCATGCCCTCCTCTGTCGCATGCACATTTCCCAGATTCACTACCCTCTGTAGCAGAATGGTATTGATTGCTTTGGCTAATTGTGTAACAGCAGTACCATGCCTATACTCTCAATATACTCCCTTGTTAGGCACACCAAGGTAAACAATCATTACAATGCTTTGATGCACAATGGGATCCACAAAGTGATGGTTCTCACGCTGCACAGGTAACCAGAGCCATAAAGGGTACAAAAAGACTATTTCCCATTGATCTGAGGCAAACGGGGAGGGAGTAGACAAAGTGCATTATGGGACACTGAGGACATAAACCCAGAACCACCTGCTGCACAATTTTGGTCTCAATGTGTACCGGGAGCATAACACAGAACACAAAGCAACACAAGCACTGTGAGATTGAGAGTGATGCACTGACACACTAAGTCGACAGCAGACTCCCTACTGGGGATGCACAGCTTCGAACTAGGTTGCATTCTTGCACACAGTGGGGACACGGACCTTTGACTTTACAAAATTGGGTGGTAAGAAGTCAACCTTAAAAAGTTTGACCTTATCTTGTATTGTAAACATGGTCTAAGCAAGTAGACCATAATCAGTCTTCACTTGCAGCTCCAAGTTACTACAGGCAGTCCCCGACTTACGCGGATCCGACTTACGGACTGGAGCGGCAGCAGCGGTGGACTGGAGCGGCAGCAGCGGCAGTTCCCCGCGCCTCTGAGGCTTTGCTCTG